ATTACCCCTGTTATAGAGATGAGGAAGTGAAAACAGAGAGAGCAAGTGACTTAAGGTTACACTGCAGTCTTAGATTGGTGGAGTCAGAATTCAACTGTTATTGTGAAAGCAGAGCTCACAAATAGAGAACCACATGACCACCTCTGGAATGCACACAATTGTGACACACCTAGGGACAGGAGTGAGGTGAGCTGTCTGACAATGTGATAGAATATACAGGTCTCAGCTAAACTGTACAGTAGTTGATTGGCTACCAGAATTAACACTACATCTAGGCTGTTGAGAACTTTATTCCTGATCTAGCATTGTCCCCTGGTGGTTTTCCTGGGAAACTCACAGGGTAAAGAAATCCAGGGGTCTAGTCTAGTACAAAGAGACCTGGTGTGGCGCTGTGGGCTAAAGCGCCAGACTGTAAAGTTGTTTGAACTGCAAGGTCGGTGATTCAAGCTCACCAGCTGCTTCTTGGAAACCCTATACAGGGTCGCTATGGGTCGGAACCGACTCGACGGCACTTCACAGCAACAGTACAAGGATCTCCCACGCACTCATCTGTCAGTTTGTTGTACTGCAGTGGCTTGCATATTGCTGAGATGCTGGAAGCTATGCCACCAATATGTCAAGTACCAGCAGGATGACCCATGATGGACAGGTTTCAGCGCAGCTTCCAGACTAGAACTAGGAAAGGGGACCTGCCAACTGGTATTAATATCATATACATGTGAAGTTTTGCTGAAATTAATTTAAAATTTGTTGTAGCAGTACATCAACAGGGACTATTAGAAACTCAACCAGGATTCGGAAGAGGACGTGAACCAAGGATATTATTGCTAATATCTGATGGATCTTGGCTAAAGAAAAATAATACCAGAAAGGTGTTTACTTGTGTTTTGTTGACTATGTAAAAAGTCATTTGACTGTGTGGCTCATAACAAACTATGGGTAACATTGCAAAATATGGGATTTCAGAACACTTAATTGTGCTCATACGGGACCTGTATAGAGACCAAGTGGATAATGCATGGTCTGAAAGCAGAAAAAGCGTCAAGATTGTAGCCTTTCACTATACTTTCTCAAATCTTATGCTGAGCAAATAATCTGAAGATCCTATATAAGGTCACTATGAGTCAGAACAGTTTGTGGGTTGTATGCAGGTCAAAGCTGCATACAAAGAAAAACTGAAGTATTTGAGTTATGATGCTGGCAAAGAATATTAGATATTCTATGTAGTACTAGAAGCATGAACAACTCTGTTCTGGAAATAATATAGCCAGAATGCTCCTTAGAGGCATTCATCTCACACATTTTGAGCAAGTTGTCAGGAGGGGCCAGTCCCTGGAGAAGGACATCATGTTTGGTAAAGTAGTGGGTCAGCAAAAAAGATGAAGACCTTCAACGAGATGGACTGATATAGCAGCTGCAACACTGGGTTCAAACACAGCAATGGCAGTGAGGACGGCTCAGCAGTGGGCAGAGTTCAGTGTCAAAATGCCCTAGAACTGACTCAATGACACCTGACAAGTATGGTGATTAAGGGACCCTGATGGCAATGTGGATAAGCTCTCTCTCCTGGTAGCTGAAAGATCGGTGGGTTGAATCCACTACCATAAAAGACTAACAGCCCTGAAACCTTAAAGGGCCATCCAATCTGCCCTATAGGCTCGCTGAGTCAGAGCTGACTGGATGGCCCTGAGTTTGGGTTTTTGGTTTTTAGTACAATGATTGGGATAAAAAGAACTACACCAAGTGAATTACTTGCTTCTTTTATACTCTATATGGTGTCCTGGTGTGGTGATGCAGGGTAAGCACTGGACTGCTAACCACAAGGTCTGAGGTTCAATTTTACCAGCCACTTCTCAGGAATCCTAGAAAGGGTCACTATGAATCAGAACTGATTTAACAGCACTTCCAAAAGAACCCAAGGAGCTCAACTAAGAAACTAACATCATCCTTTTCCCCCAACCAACCAACCGATGACCTGCCAAGGCTCACATTTGTTAATAGGGTTCTATCATATGCAAATAAAATTTTGCTAATGATAATTAAAAAATAACTGCAGCAGTACACTGCCAAAGGTTGAAGATGGGTTCAGACAAGATGTAGAATGAGGAACATCATCGCTGACATTAGATAGATTTTAGCTGAAGCAAAGGATACCAGAAAGATGTTTGTTGTCGTCAAGTGCCATCAAGTTGGTTCCAATTCACAGCAACCCTCCATAGGGTTTCCAAGGAGTGGCTGGTGAGTTTGAACTGCCGACCTTGTGGTTCAAACTGACCTTGCAGTCCAGTGCTTTAGCCCACAGCATCACACCAGGATTCCAGAAAGATGTTTACCTGTACTTTATTGACTATGCAAAGGCTCTCAACTGTATGGATCAAAACAAGCTATGGACAATACTGCTGAGAATGAGTATTCCAGACACTTACTTGTGCTCATGAGGAACCTGTACCAAAAGGCAGTTGTTTTAACAGAACATGGGAACACTGAATGGTTTAAAATTAGGAAAGGTTTGCACCAGGGTTGTATTCTTTCACCATACTTAAATCAACCTGCATGCTGAGCAAATAATCTGAGAAGCTGGATTATATGAAGAGCCTGGCATCAGGATTGAAGGAAGACTCATTAACAGCCTATGATATGCAGATGATACAACGTTGCTTGTTGAAAGTGAAGAGGACTTAAAATACTGACTGATAAAAATCCAAGACCATAGCCTTCATTATGGTGTACACATCAATTTCTTTAGAGAAAACAATAATCCTCACCACTGGAGCAATAAATAACATCATGATAAATGGAAAAAAAGATTGAGCTGTCAAAGACTTCGTTTTTATCAGATCTCCAATCAACACTCATGGAAGCAGTAGTTAGGAAATCAACGACATATGGCATTAGGCAAATCTTCTGCACAAAACCCCTTTAAATGTTCAAGAGCAAAGTTATCAGTTTGATATCTGGTAGCGTAGTGGTTACGAATCTGGCTGCGAACCGCAAGATCAGCAGTTTGAAACTACCAGCTGCTCCGCGGGAGAAAGATGAGGTGTTCTGCTCCCGTAAAGATTAACAGCCTCGGAAACCCTGTGCAGGGTCGCTATGAGTCAGAACCGACTCCACAGCACATAACAAAAATCAACAGTCATGGAAGCAGTAGTTAGGAAATCAATGACATGGCATTAGGCAAATCTTCTGCATAAGACCCCTTTAAATGTTCAAGAGCAAAGACATCAGTTTGAAGACTAATGTGCACCTGATCCAAACCATAGTATTTTCAATAGCCTCATATGCATGTGAAAGTTGGACAATGAATACAGAAGATGGTAGAAGAGTTGATACCTGTGAGTTATGCTGTTGAAGAATATTAAAAGTACCATGGATTGCCAAAAGAACAAACAAATCTGTGTTGGCAAAAGTACAGCTAGAATGTTCCTTAGAAGTCAGGATAGTGAAACTTCATCTCTTATACTTGGGACATTTTATCAGGAGGGACCAGTTCCTGGAGAAAAGTACATTATGGTTGGTGAGGTAGTGAAAAAGAGGAAGACCCTCAACGATATGGACTGGCATGGTGGCAACAGCAATGGACTCAAGGATAACAGCAATTGTGAGGTTGTTGCAGGACTGGGTAGCACCTAACAGCAATGACAATCTAGGATAGCTAACAGCTGACTTACTCAAAGCTAGTAGAAAAATATTTGCCAGTTACACTTATGCTTCAAAAGAGTAGAAAATGCCAACGTTTGATCATTTAGTCACTACTTGCTATAGTGTTTCCTTTTTTTCATTGACCCCATGGCATCTAACTTCACATTTCCTCTTTAAGTGGTTATGTTTCCCTTATCACAACAGAGAATCCTATGAAGATAGCACTACATCTCCCAGTATACAATACCCCTAGTCCCACCCCTGAAATTCAGTTCCTCAACACTTCAGATATTTGTTATTATCCAACTAGGTGATGTCTGTTTTCTTCAAGCTGGCCTAGTGGCTCCAACACCACAAATAAATACTAGGGAGCTTTCAAACTGTGGGTGGAAAAATTCAATTTTGTCACGAACTGTTTGAAGCACCTTATGCATATGTTACAAGTTTGTGCTAAATAAAGCAAAACAAGAAGGTCACTTTGCATGAAGTTGGTTAAGTAACGTCTAGCTGGGCAAAAAAGGGGAGAAAAGACAGTTTCTGGAAGTCAATGTACTATGGGACCAAGTTTCCATTATAAACTTTCCACCTAGACCTGGGTACCCATGTGTCATGGACCTAGAGGTACTCTAACTCAGAGAAGCTACAGCAGACATAATTTATGAGTTTTTATTCAAAGGTACATTTCTAGGTGCATAGGGCCACAAGTTAATGCTGTTAAAAAATAAAGCAAACATCTAACCAACTGCTGCATTAAAAAAAAAAAATCTAAGAGAGAAAAGGAGACATGAGACAACCCAGAGGACCCTTCAGGACTGAATTTCAGTGGTAGAACCTCCCTCCAATGGGACGCTGGACACCTCTGGAGCAAGTCATGACCGGTGAAGCTATGGAGCTGGAGGTGCTGTCTTGGCCAGAACTTAATGAGGCACTTGAAGAATTTGTAGATATAATATTCCAGCTGGACAGATGTGGTTTGGACCCCATCGTACAATGTGAGAGCTAACAACCGTAGGGCAAGCTATATGCTATCCCTAAAAGCAATCTCCTCAGGTCCTGTCTGGTTGTGTGTCGGTTCTATTCCAACCGCAAAGAACACTGGAAGACAATGAGCCAATCACTTAGTCCTGAAGTGTTACCTCTCTCCTTCTCTTCAACCCTTTTATAAAGGGTGCTATAAGGGAAACCGTTTTTGAGCTCTCAGAAAACAGGGTCTTACATGGTTTTTGAGGCTGAGAGGAATAATACAGTTGACTGGAAGTTCCTTTCATCTTATGGCACTGATTTAATGTCAGACTTGATTTCTCCTCCATTTTCTCCCCTCCCCGCATCCATGCCCTAGACAGACATATTGGCATCAACTATCTCTGGGATACGATTTGTAATGGGATTTCCCAGCAGAAGAGACACTGATCTTTGTCATCCCGAAGCTCCCACTTCACCAACAGCTTTATCTGGAAAAAAAGAAAAAGAATTGGGAAAAATGAAACTAGAACCTGGTTTCAGTCCATAAATGGTTTAAGTAGGTATCCTGGATGTAGATTTTCACAAATCGTCTAATTTCTCATTACTTTTTCTTTTCTCTTTGTAAAGAACATTCATTTTAAACTTGACTGTGAACTGGGTAGGTCTAGAGAGCAGACCATCAGTTTCACATTTTGTTTCATCTCATTTGTTGCAATCCCTTCAATGTAGCATCCTTCTTCCTCCCTGTTTCCTCTTTCTTTCCCGCCTTACTAAACTTTGACCTTAGGGATCTCAAATGGTTGATTTCTCTAAGGTGTGTGGCCCTCACTAGTGTTATTGTTGGCGTTACAGACTTCTCGATTGTTTGGCTGGAAATTGAGTAATAGGGTTCAGTTCCAAACCTGACAAATGACCTAAGGACCATAGTCTTGGGGATTCCACGAACCTCTAGCTGACCAGTGGGTGTGTCTCTTTTATGATCTTGAGTTCTGTTCCACATTTTTCTCCTACCTATCCAGGCCCTTCTAATATGATCCCTGGCTAGAGGATGCAGTTGTTGTTGTTAACTGCCATCGAGTCAGTTCCAACTCACAGCAACCCTGTAAAGGGTTTCCAAGGAGCTGCTGATGGACAGACACGTGTTAACTTGGGTGAAGGGGAAGGTAATATACAGTAAGTTGTTGTTATGTGCCGTGGAGTCGGTTCCGACTCATAGCGACCCTGCACAGAGTTTCCAAGGCTGTAAATCTTTATGGGAACAGAACGCCTCATCTTTCTCCCGCAGAGCAACTGGTAGTTTCAAACTGCTGACCTTGCGGCTCTCAGCCCGATTCGTAACCACTACGCTACCAGAGCTCCTTAATATACAGCATGAGTTGTTGTTAATTGCTGTCGAGTAGGTTCTGCATAGGGTTTCTAAGGAGCAGCTGGTGGGTTTGAATCACTGATATTGTGGTTTGCAGTCCAGTGCTAATCCTACAGCACCATACCAAGAGGGAGGTTAGCAAAAAATGATGGAGGCAGGGCACTGGGAGGAGTGTGAGACTTAAAGACAACAGCAGTAAATATTTTTCTTTTAAAGTGACGCCGTTATAAAGGTTACTTAGGATGTGGGCAGAGCCTATGGCCTTAAGATTTACAAGAGTGAGCCAATCGATATCTATGATTTGGTGTTAGCCACACCACATACTAGCCTAATTACCTTACCAAATACAATTTTTAAAGCATTATTTTCCTTCTCAAAGCAATGATAAATAAAATACCAATTTTACATTCAAACAACTTCTCATGTATTTGGCAATTCTAATCCAGCCTTTTCAACTCTAACCATGTTGAATAGAGCATAAAAAAGCTAAGAATCTAAGAAAAACAAACTCTTACATTAGTTGGAAATGGAACTGCTTCAACTAACTTCCTTAAATTATCCTTGACTATCTCATTCTAGATCTCTGCCTTGCCTCCTTACACCCTTACTGTTGTCTGTCCTTCCTAAGTTTGAGTAATGCACTCACCTGTCGTTGCTCCTTTCTCAGGTGACATTAGCCTGCTTGTCATTAGTTACTACTTCCCTTTTGTGCTCAAATGCTTCTTCAGGACAATTCATTTCAGTGGCAATGCTTCTAGAAACTTGTAAGTTTTTCAAGACTAGTTAGTGCACATTAACCACTGTTTCACAAACTGCTTAAACTTACACAGTTTGTGCAGTTTTTTTCAAATGAACTGTAATTCGTTTAAAAAAACACAACTAGTCATGTGTTAAGCAGCTATCATGTACCACCCCTGACTGATTCTCTCCATGCTGAATGGAGGTTCAGAAGTGCTCCTGATTAGATGAATACTCTGCAAATTAATCTACAATTCTGTCTCTGACCTCCAGGGTCTCTGTTGTTGTTGTTGTTGTGAAGTGCCATCGAGTCGATTCTGACCCATAGTGACCCTGTATAGGGTTTCCAAGGAGCAGCTGGTGAGCCTGAACCACTGACCTTGCAGTTCAAACGACTTTGCAGTCTGACGCATTAGTCCACAGCGCCACCCCACGGTCTCTAGCACTTACTAAACACAGACGCTTTATACCATGAGTCTCTTCAAAATGTCTTTTAATAGTTTGATTTTTCTAGAAAATAGATAGATTACTTCTGACTTCTACAGGACTTGCTTTGAAGAAATGTAGCTATTTTTCTCCCATGTAAAAAAGTAATTCTACTTTTTCCATTCTTCTCAACTTCCATACCTTACTCAAAACAGAATCTAATCTCACAAGAGCCTGGTAGAAAAATAAGTTAAATCTAGCAGAGTGGGTCAGAGATAGAGGTGGGAGAAAGAAGAGTGGGAAAAGCTACCTTTCTTTGCTTATGGAAATTTTGGAAGCTGCCCAAAATTCCAACCGAAAGGAAAGAATTCTCCTTATCAAGCATCAAGCATGCAGGCATGAGGTGGGCTTACAAAATGTGCCCTTTGGACATTTAAACGTATATATATTTTCTTTTCTTTTTTTTTTCTGGCTGACTATGTTCATTTTATTAAGGGTATCAGGGACTTGGACAATACTGCAGAATACATTTGTCAGGAACTCAATACAATGTCACAAATATGCTTGTCTCATCTTTATTCAAAAACCCAAACATCAAACTCATTGCCATCAAGTTGATTCTGACATATAGTGACCCTGGATAATTGTTTCCTAGGGTTTCCAAGGCACACACCTTTATCGCAGCAGACAGCCTCATCTTTCTCCCAGGGGGCTGTTGGCTTCAATGGCTGACCTTTGGGTTAGCAACTCAACACTTAACCCATGGTGCCACCAGGACTCCTGTCATCTTAGTGTCGTGGCTGTTAAATGCCATTGAGTCAGTTCCGACTCATAGTGACCCTGTTCAGGGTTTCTGAGTAAATTGTTTCCCAAGTTATTTGTACAAACTTGTGTCCAAACTATTAATGATTTATGGAAACTTGCATTTCTTCAGATCTTATCCAGTGCTTGGCCCTAATAGGCTTTGAGATATATTTCAATCTGATGTATAATTTGCATTTCGCTGTTTTCTGTTGCATTTTCTTGATTATTAGAGAGAATGAGCATCTTTATATATATATATTTTTTATATAAGGTTGCTGGTTAAAATACTTACTAATTAGTTTAGCATATGCTTCAATTAATGCTAATGGAGACCACTTACTAATCATTGATATGTTTACATTGTTGTGTATGTATTAAATTAATTTAATTTATCTCCCATCTGGGTTTCTCTTATTTTAAATTGACTGTCTTCTACTTTTTGCTCCTTTTCTATTTTTTTAGACTTAGTATTTATGGTTACTATTCATTGACAAAGTCCTGGTGTGGCACTGTAGGATAAGCACTGGGCTGAAAGATCCGTTTGAACCCCAAGGTTGGTGGCTCAAACTCTTCAGTTACTCCTCAAAATACTATACAGGGTCTCTATGAGTTGGAACTGACTTGACAGCACTTAACAACAATAACACATTCATTGATAAATATGCTACAAATGTATTCTCCCAATTCTGTGGCTGGGATTTTACTTTCTTTGTGATGCATTTTGCAAGAGAAGCCCAAAAAACAAAGCATTGGCCATTGAGTTGATTCAAACTCATGGTGATTCCATGTATGGCAGAGTAGAACCGTGTTCCATATG